ATCCTCTTTATGTGAGTATCACCAAACTTAGGAACATACAAGTTCATCTTTGTATCTTCAGGTGGACGTGGAAATAAAACTGCCAAAGTTTTTCCTCCCAGGAACAAGCATGGAGCAACAACAATCTTCAGATTGAAGTTCCCAAGGCCATACCAATACACATCTGAGAAGGTAGACAGATGTTCCCAAGACCCAGCTTTGCAGATGGGTTTGAAGAATGTCTCCTTTCTGGGCAGTCTGAACTCAGGCTACCTCAGATCCCATCTGAGTTGACCAATGTGGTATGGGGCACATCTGGGATGAGCTAAACATTCTTAGCAAATATTTGTATCACCCTTCAGCAGTCTAAAGTGGAACAAACAGCTGCATTTCAAGGGAGACCAGAGTGGAGCAGAGAGACTTGGCATTTAGCAAAGCTTGCCTTCCCACTGCACGGCAGCACTTTGCAGTTAATATTTCACAGATAGCGCTGGGACTGCTTATGAGGATGTTGTCACTAAGCAACAAAACATGGATTTTTCAGGAGATAGTAAGGTGATACTAAATTTACTTTTCTCATCCCACCTCTCTGCTGCACTAAGGTCAGTAGAACTCAGAATTTTTCCTGTTTTGTTGTCAGGGGGTCAGTGGGAACACTGATAAATAAAGGAAGGGAGGACAACTGTGTCACAGGCTAATTTGAAACTGATGCAGTAGGTCTGAAGGGAAAGCACAGCCTGGTAGTTCTCTTTTTCTCTGTTTAGTATCTGAACTTTGAAATGAGGCAGGAACAGAGCAGAGCAGGGAGGTGGAAGTGGCCATGAGCACTGCAAGGCAGACAGGAGACTTCCTCCCACTGCATCATCCTAGGCTTCTTTCTCTGTCTGCTCTGCATCAGGAGAAGAATATTGGATCAAATGTAGAAAATGCTACAGCCCAGCTGCAAGAAAGCCCTATAGAAAAAGTGAGGGATTACAAAATAAATAGATTTGATGTCAGAAACATTCTACAAACTTGAATATCTAAAGAGGGGGCAAAGAAGTTTGAAGAGCTTCACAATGGAACATCCAGCTGCATTACCCAAGGTTAATGCAGGGCTCCTTAGAGCTGGGATGTCTGTTCAGGCTGTAAGCTGTACCAGCACTGCTGCAAACTGCTGCTCTTTGCGTAGCCATCAGAGAAACCCACTGATGTCAATGGTACACGGAGCAGGGGCAAGCGAAAACCCAGTCATGTTGAGGGGTGGCACATTTCCATTAGCGTCCCGTATGTGCAAACAGATAGACCATTACCTCCCAGCTGCCAAAACACAGCAGCGTTATCTACAGCAAAGCAAGAGGAGCGGGGAAAAGGGAAAATATGACAGTGGTCATGCAGTCACAGCACAACACCTCTGGGCTGAGGGTCCCGCTGGAGCAGCTTTGCAGCAAGCCGAGATAAAGCTCCTGCACACCCGCTTATTCCCCTATCCCTTTCACATCACTGGTCCCAGAAGACCCATATTTCCTCCTCACGTGGCTTCTAGCTGACACGCTGCATGCTGCCCTGCTTGCCAGGAAGGTCACTGTGCAGCTGGCTGAGAAGGAAAAATACTGGGAATGAGCAGCATTCCTGATACTTGCAGTGCAGTAGTGCTGAAGAGAATGTGTACGAACCAGGACCTCTGCTGTGGTCATTGAGTGGTCTATAGCAAACATCTTGCGGAGAGGATATGGACTCTGCCCTTACCATGGCAAGGTCACCATAATAGCACAGATCTGGCAATCTAGGCAGATAAGACCTCCAAAACTCCTGACTCACTACTGTTCACCACAAATGTATGTATGGAACTTCCCAAGACATAAGCCCCTGTGCTCATGCTGTCTGCACCCTGCTTGGATCCTCTCACAACTTTGAAACACATCAGGTAGTTCCATGTGTGTTTGATGGGTCAAGGCAAGTGGAAAGGGTTGTCTGTAAAACGTAAAGTTCCTGTCAGGTATAGGAAATACATGTTCCCTCAGCTTACGAAAATGGAGACAACTAATAGATACAAACCAAGGGCTCATGAGAGAGGTCCATGAGAGAAGGAGGACCACAGTGAGTGACTTCGGAAGGTACTTGCACCCTAACCGTCAAAGCCTCCAAGCAGGAGAGACTCAGCTACATGAGAACCAGCTGCCAAAGGGCAACTTGATGGCCCTCAATAAATAGTGGGTCCTCTTCTTCCTTAAGATTTTTCATTGAAAATGAGAGGGTAAAGGTCTCAATGACTGGCAGTTATATAATATGGATGGCTATTGATTTGCCATTTATTCTGGGGCTTTTCCCATGGAAAAAAGAACGTGGCTAGGTGTCTCTGTGCAAATGCTTGAACAATTATGAAAGGTTGTGAATAACACTAGCTGATTTGCTCTGCATCTTCACCGGTCACTTCACATAAGCTGGTCATGTAGATAACATGAAATGAGATGAATGAGGCAGGATCTGGCTCAGTGCATATGGTAGATGCAGTGGTTTGGCAAGTAGATATCTCCATCCCAGCTAGTCACAGTGACTGCTCTTGGTAACCAATATCAAAAAATACTCTTCGGAAACATGACTTGTCTACTCTGTAAATGGTGACAGGTTGCCATATCCCTTCAGTCATTTCTCCTCCCAGAGCCTATGTGACCTATAATATTCCAAAGCATTTGCACATTTCTTTTTGTTTTTTTTGGGTGCTTCTCAGTGCTAAATTTAAATGTTCTTAACCAAGAACTTTGGAGCTTCTGTCTGATCCACTTGGAAAAGGCTAATATTTATACATATTTTTGAATACACTTGCCCAGGGTCAGAGCTCTGTAATGCCCTCTTGAAGCTGCTTGTAAAGACACAGTAAAGTGTCTGGCCAGCAAAGTGTAGGAATGACTGTTTGGGGAAGTTTTTGTTGTTGTTTGTTTTTAATATTTTTAGGTGAAAAGAAAGATGAGAGGGGAAAAGTTCCCTGTTTCAAGCATCTTAAGGTCACACTTCATATTAAGGTTCCATTTATAAAGAACACATAAATGCTTAATACATGCTTAAGTGATTGATGAATCATTTATTGTATATTGCTATTGAACTGTTGGTCTCTAGAGCTCTGACTTAACCATCTATAATATCTGGTGCAGCTGTACATAGAGCCATCGATAATGTTGGAACATGAAGTATTCGTGTGTTTAATGTGCTTACAGCATCTAACATTTATGAATGCTTTATAAATAATTTATAAATGAAATCTTAATATACAGAGTAACCTATTTTTAACATAGTGGGATTACGTAAGCCATTTGGCCTTGATTCATCTCACGTAACTTCGAGCACCTCTGGTTGTAGCCCAATGCCATTTTTCTTTCCTTTTCAACCTACCCTTTCTCCCACTGCTGATTGACCCTTTTCTGTCCCCAAACAGACGTGCAGATGTGTCTGTTTCCTGGGATGCTGCATCCTCACAGGATTCAAGAGACTGTGCATGGATTGCTCCACAGCAATACCCCGCTACACATGCTGTAAGAAAAAGGGTAGACTCTGGGCAACAGAAGTGCCATGTTTCAGACACTGATCAGTAATGGCTCCTTCACAGCCATTAACAAGATACTCATCACTAAAGCATTTAAACAGTTGGCCTGATTTCCCTATGGCAACACGGATGATGTTTTGTTCAAACTGACCACACAGTGAACAGTGCTGCAATTAGCTCTTCTACAGCCATGATAGCAGAATACATGGGACCTTAACAAATCCTTCTTTTCAGAGGATCCACCACTCCAAAACAGTGGTGCTGTCATTAACATATGCATAAAATGAAGTCTCTTTTATGGGTTGGACCAGGCAATTTCTGAGCAATGACAGAATTTCTGGGTAGTCACTAGGGAGATTTCCTGTGCATGTGGCGTAGGAGAGGCTGAGAGGAGGCACAGCCTGGAAGAGGAACTCTTGAAAGAGGAACTGATAACTGGTGAACTGTCTACGACATCCTAAGGAGGTCCATTCATATGCTTTATACCCTCAAGGTTCATTACTGTGCTCTGTATAGGTGCACACTAAATACACGCTGTCCTGGAGGGCTCTTTTGCACTCCCAGACTCATTTTATATATGTCCCTCAAGTACTAAATGACAATGTCAATTAAATGACACCTCTCCTCATTATATCATTGTTCCTGGGAGCCAGCGGTGATCCAAGGATAAGATAGTCCATGCAATTGGCAGTGGTAAATGGGCCTTAATTTCAAATTTACTGCAACTTAACTTAAATACTTTGCTGAATCAGAGAGAGGGCAAGGACAAAAAGTTATCAGTATATATTTGATGATGTCATCTACATACAGCACCACTTCTACTGGTGTTAGGAACCTGAGGCATCAAGAATATACTAGCCTAAGTATCCCTAAAACAAGCAACACCAGATGGTTATTAAAATTGGTAAGGTCCCATTCAACTGAAGCATCTTGAGGTGTTTATAAGAGATGATGTGAGAGCCAAACTCCAGTTTAACAACTAAAATATGTTTCTAAAAAAAAGAAACAATTCTTTTTTTCCTTAGAGGATGCAAGCCAAAAAATGTCCAATTCCCACCCATGCCAAAGAGATGAATTATTATCCCAGAGCACTGCAAAACATGCTTAATGCTCTGAGGAATTTGCATCATTCTTCCCCTCAGGTAACAGGATAGAATAGCTGGTAGCCACCGGGTAGCTCATGTTGCCTCCACTCACCTTGTACCTGCTCAACAAAGACATATTCAAGAGGTGCAGTATGAAGCTTAGATCCTTCATCAGCTCTGAATTCTGAAATTTCAGTTCCAGCATCACATACATTCTCTTTCAGAGAGCAAAGACAGCATCATGGGATATGTTATCATTATTAACAACAAAAACACACATGAACACTATTAAGAATTAAAAACAGAATGGACAGACAAAGGTGTAAATAACACAAGCATTTATTCAGGTAATCAAATTTATATGCTTTATGCTTCTCCAACACATACATATAGTGCTCTCAGCAATGATGATTTAAATTAGGAATGATTTAATTCAACCAAATGGGATCACATCACATTTACATCTGTATAACAATGCAGAGATTGGCTCATCATGTTCAAAATAATAGCATAGTGGTTCAGAGAAGTAAAAACAAGTTTTCAGTTCCAGAATGGGAGAGCATATCAGAAAACTATCATCCTTTATTCAAGCCACTGTGAGTACCAATCCTGACAGAAATTCCAGCAAAATCTCCCATTAAAAAGAAAACAAAGTCATGCAGTATTCTCATTTTAAAGTACCTTTCCCTCACCCTTCTCCAAATTACTTGACACTTTCACACTCCCCTTCTGGAGAAGTCACAAATGATCCCCAGAAGGAAGAATTTCCTGTGTTTTATCTCTCTCACCAAGACGAGTAGAAGTGTAAGAAAACTGGAAAAGATATCATAACTGCCAAAAGCAACTAACCATCAAAGCTGACAGGGGACACAGCGCTATTCTATATAATGAACAGACAGACCATTAAGGGTCTGCTCACACATAAATGCTTATATTTAAGAGCACATATTGCCCCTTTATAATTAAAGGGTTGTGCCTCAGTACAGGCTTCACCACATACCCTCTGCTCTCATGGACTACTCTCAAAACCCAACTATGAGAAGCTCCCTTAGCTGGGCAAGCTGAAGCATCCTGACTGCAACATCAGCTTCACTGTATTTTTGTTTCAAATGCAATGTGGCCCTTATAAAGCCTTAGCTGTACTCCCAGCATCTGCAGACTACCTGCTGGGAATACTGAATAAAACACAATTCGGATTTTGCAGTGTTGTGTAATATAGTACAGAGACACATGTCAAAAGCAGGCTTTCATGAAGAAGAGCAAACAGCCTAATTCCTGCTCTCCTGGGATCTTATTTTATGCATACATGACTATCTAGTGGTGGAGACTCAGTCTTGTGACACAGGATGTACCCAGCTCTGCTGCTTGGACCCTCTTCCCACTGGTGTCTCAGGCTCAGAGCCACTGTGTAAGTCTAGGGAACTGTTTTGTCACCAGACACTGTTCACTGGCATCTGACAGTGGCACATCATTGCAAGCAAGTGTTCATCCAGCCTCAGACTTCCTTCACTTTACGTCTGAAGACTTCTACTCTGGAATTCAAGCCCCGTGCAGAGCCACAGCTTAAGAGCGAACACTGATGAGATTGCCACAATACAAGGTTGAGAGATAATACCCACTGGGAACATAACCATCAAGCTACAGCTACGGTTCCTTCAAATTAAGAAAATATAGGATAAGTGTATTGAGTTCTGAGCACTGCCATGATCCTACATAAAACAGCTGTCACATCCACAATTATAACATGGTGTAGAGATCCATGGCAGGTGGCTCTCCAGCCTACAGCTCCATGGCATCAGCAGACACACCAATGCAGGCATAAAGCAGTCTATCCAGATGTGGATAAAGCTTAAACAAAAACAGTCGTGCATGCAGATGTAGCACAGACAGAGGTAATTTGAGCTTCCTGCCACATCTTGGCGTATTCATCCTCTGTAAGGTTCTACCACCAGCTTTAACAACAGCAGGGTGTAAATCTAAGAAAAGATAAGAGTCATGTTTGAAGTCTATGGTCCATGAAGTAACATATAAGTCAAGCAGATGAAATATCTCCTTGCTTTGTCTGGAGTAAATTCAGGTTTCTCCACGCAAAAACATTAACTGGAAAAAAACAACTGGTTATATTTTCAGTACATTCAGCAGCTACTATTTTGGTCGGGAATTCCATGGCTTTAATTGCCTAATCATTAAACTTAATCATCTTAAAAAAAAAAGACAAGAAAAAGCACATAAAGCACATAATCCAGCTGAGCCTATTAGCATGAAATACCTGATCAGAAGAGTCTGCAAAACTCACACAAAGTGGTAAAAATGGTCAGCTGATTAATTCTGGTGGAAACATGACTGTTCATAGTCATGAATTGATAGGCTAGCCCCCAGCTAGCTTATTTCTTTTCTCAAGGACAAAAATTCAGCTCTTCTTTGCCATTCTCCTTTTCCTGTCCACAGATCTCCAGAACAAAAGGTAGTGACTCCACCAGGAGCAGAGGTGCTGAGCTCAGGGGAGGATGAGAATACCTGGAGGAATGTCTGCTATTCTTACTTTCACTAAGCAACACAAGAATAGGCATCACTACCACTATTTACCACTGAAAACACCAAATACTCAACAAACAAATGGAACATGAACAAGCCAGAGAGCCCAAAGGAGATCTACACCCCAAGGGTACCTACTGCACACCATGAGTCTGTGGTACACCAAGAGACATTTAATATAGATACACAACTCTTGCTGAAACAATAAAGAAGGACTATCCAAATCGGAATTGATACCTTCAAATATAAGCTTAAATTCAGCCTTCAAGATCTTTTCAAATCTGCTGATATCAATGGGGTGTATGAAAGCATAATGCACATATTAGCTGTTTCAAAGGCTTTTTGGAAGCAGAGGAGAACTCCAGCATATTTATAATCTTTCTCTCTCTCTCTGAAATTAGCTAAAGCAGCTGCCCAAATGACTACCAGCCAATTCAGAAAGTGTTCAGCTGTTCCTCCAAAGTAGGGACTGTGGCCGGGGGGTGGACAGAAACAAGCTGGGGTCAAGCAGAGACTGTGCCAAGCATTTCTGTGCACTGTCGTTAATCAAACAGCAGGCAGCACATCTACAGTTGAGTTTGGATGACAGGCTCCATCGCACGGATGTGAACACTGGGAAGGCAGAACCAGGAGAGAGGGAGATCCTTGCTGCAGTTGTCCTCGTGGAATTTGATATTCAGGTAGAAGTCACCTGTGTAAAGAAAGAGAAGTGCTCCGAAGTACACAGAGTCTTTGGTTGGCTTCACCTGAAAAGGAGAAGGTGATAAATCAGCAAAATCAAGCAAGCAACACCACAAAGTAATGGCACTTTTTAGTTCATCAGCTCTAAGAGGATCATTTAGAAATGATCCCAAAGTACGCTAGAAATATTCGTATTTTAAACATCTCAATATTGCCTTCCCACAAGAAAAGGTAAATACCATGCCATTATTCTAACAATGGTAAAACTAAAGCATTGACCATCAAATCCTGTGTTATCCTCCCCTGCAGCAGAGCTATAAGACAGCTCAAACCAGAAGACAGCTCTTCAGAAGTCACGGATTATACAACAGACTTGGTTTGTGGCAGAAATAATTCCAGTTTTCCTATATGTCCAGAAACATTTTCTCTTAGACTACATTTATCAACTTCTTTATCTATGTATGCAATGAAACAGGCTGCCCAGGGAGGCTGTGGAGTCTCCTTCTCTGGAGGTCTTCAAAACCTGCCTGGATACCACCCTGTGCCCTGTGCTCTAGGTGTCCCTGCTTGAGCAGGAAGGTTGGACTAGATGATCTCTAGAGGTCCCTTCCAACCTTGAACATTCTGTGATTCTGTGATTCTGTATCTTCCATATCTATATCTAGGTCTAAATCAAAGCTTTGAACTCTTGTTAAATGCATGCTTAAACACCATTTAGCTACTTAGCAATAACTAAATTCATCCCCAGTTATTATTCAGACACAATCTGACTGTAAATTCTAACTGGTAATTTTTAACATTCGCTATCATGGGACTAATTAACTTTGGTGGGAAATTCCCTACTAAAAGTAGATCTCCCAATTTAACTTGTCCTAATTAAACATAGAATCAGCACCATTTTCACATTTATTTACTTCTTTTCATCTCAAAACCATTCGCAATCCATATATCTGCAACAAGTAATATATCTCCATCCACTATTACAATAGGACATTTAAGCATTTCTTAAAGTCTAATGATCCCATCGCTATGCAGCATGTGCCAATGTTTGAATTAATACATTGCTTCCACAAAATGTTAAATTCAGTTTCAGAGTGCCTAGAATTGAGTAAAAACTGCTGCAGATGCAAAAAGCTGAACCAGCACAAATTCCATTAGACCAAATTTATTTCAAAAAAAAAGAAAAAAAAGTGAAGAGGTAACTTTAGTCCAGCAGAATTGATCCAATAAGAGACACTTGATGCTTTTCAGTATTGTTTATTCCACAACCAATTGTACCAGTCCTCTTTTTCTCCTAAGACCTGCAAGCCATCATCTTACGATGTACCCATAGTGTCATGCGTTCTCTCCCAAGCCTGCTATTTTCTTTTTCACTTGGATACTCATTGGAAATGGGCCTTTATTTTTGGCTAGTACACCTCATCTCCAAACAAACACCTCAAAGCCCAAAATGTCACAGTTATTTAGGGCTGATGCTAAATGACAGCAGGGCTGGTCAATCATATCCAGACCCATATCCAAATCTAACTGTAGTGAAACTCTACCATTGCATCCACAAGAGCTGAGCTGTCCACATGCACTGGACTTGACTGGATTTAGGAGAAAATCTTTGCAAGGGAACCTCTGCTCCATTACTCCTGGAGCAATGAATGGACAAGGCTAAGGCTTCAAAATGGAACTACTAATGTGGTCAAGGACTGTTAGGAGCCCTGCTCACCACTTGGTCCCATCTTAAACCGAAACATCAAAAACTGGGGATTTGCTGGGGAAATGTTTATGGGTGCTGAAAGGTACCTTGCCATTTCCTAGAAAGATGCGAAGAAGAATGATCATGAGGAGATATGGGAAAAGAACCACTTGGAAAGGTTTCAAGGAGTGGAGTTTCTTGGAATGTGGGGCACTTCAAGATTATATCAAAAGGTCAATCCAAATGTGGATTATCACTGCCTCTATGGGTTTTCTGAGTAGATGTAAAGGGCTGGGCTCAACCCAGTTCACCCCTAACCATGCATCCTGTTCCATTCCATCCACCATCCTCATCTGCCTTCCTCACTGTCTCTGGGATTGAATCCAGACATCCCAGAACAACTCACCAGACCTATCAATCAATCTTCCCTCTTGTTTTCTTCCCCTTCTCCATTTACTTGCTCGACACTGTTCACTTGTACTTCACCTTGCATGAAGACTGCAATGCATGATCTGTCAAATCTGGCAGGAGTATGAAGAATATGTGGTCAAGTCTGCTCTGGACCAAATTTGTATTGCCAACTGATCTAGCAGCACATGGATCTTATTGTGATCTGTGTGGAATCATGACCTTGGTACATGCCTAGAAGCTGTGCTAATCTGTGATACTGAATCAGCAAGCATCAACTAAAGCTCTTCAGCTGTATCCTCTGCATGGAAAACAACAAGCTGGAAAACATGGCTAGAAAACCAGGAGCTCACTGACCACATCCCACCTTTGCTCCTCAGAAGAGAAATTTTCTGCTTTTGTCCTAATCCTTCCCTTCTTCAGGCTACCATGTGGGATTGTGATCGCGAGGAACTAATTATGCTGTATTTTTACTGCTGTAGTGCTTAGGGAGCCCAGTTGGAGATCAGGGCTGATGCCAGCGACTGTGCACTGCCCCAAAGAGTTTACAGTCTGAGGGAAGCAGTGCCAAGAAAAGTAATTTGTTCCAGCTGGGCCACAGGGGATCCGCCAGAAGTGAGCAAATGTTCATCATAGCTTCTGGGCTGATTCAAAATGACTATCTATTAATGAATTTTTCCTCATCTTCCACTACCATTTGAGTTACATAGTGATAGCAGAGCCAGGGAAAAACGTTTTTTAAATAGTAATGGTAAAAGGGGAAGCACAAGGAAAGATGAATTGCTGGTAGTTCCAGTAATCTGCATAACAGATTAACTAGTTATTTAAGACGAAACATTGGTATGAGCTAAAGGTACCCTTTAAAATCTTCAAATAATTTTTGTTTGCTTTTTGGAGGTAGGCATATCCTAGCAGAAATTTTGTGATGCAAACCCTGACTGCTGCATTATATTAACAATCACGAAAAGGTAAATAAGCACTCCGAATGCTACCTCCAAGGGAAAGTAGCTAACTTGGACCTCTAGTCATAAGAAATACAAAATCTTCTATTTTTTATCCCATGAAGCAATTTTTTTGCATTGTGCAAAGGAGTGTGTGGATGCTGAAAAATATATTCCCTGCTTTCCAGATAGGTGTGGAAACAGAATTGAAACTCCTTAATCCGAAAACAAAAGTAATTTTGATTTGCTGAACAACTAGAGACCTGGCTTTATAAAAATTGATATTTATGAAAACTTTTCTTCTTTTCCCCAAAGACCACATTCAATTCACACCAGCACTGCTTCGGTTTCTGGAACAGCACGGTGACAACACATATTTTCAGAGCTTGCGAAGGACCTTGTCCAACTCGTGCTCCAACACCTGATGCTCCCAGCTGTTCTGGCCCATACGTTGCCTGTGCACCAGACCCTATACCGGTTCTCCAGCTCCCTCTCTCCCAGCTCAACACAGCAATAAATCATGTCACCACCTCCTTGCTAGTGTCAGTGTAAAGTCAACCCAATTAGCTGAAGCTGCTGATGAAGGGAGTTGGAGCGAACCTGGTTGGCTCCACACCAGAATGAAGACTTGCATCATCTCTTCTGCTGGGGAAGAGGAGGACAACCTACCACAAAGGGGACAAACAGCTGGGAGATGGGAACATCTCAAGCCAGCTCTGTTAATTGAGCAAAATAATGCTGTTTCCGTGACTTTAGCTCCAAAAAGCAATGGGCACACGTTCAACAGCATAGCACTGAGTTCTCCAGCAGGGAATCTGGTCTAACATTTCAGCTCTCACTTATAAAAGGAAAAACCATCAATCTCTTTCATCTTACCCAATTGTAAGCTTCTTTGTTTCCTCAGACGGTGTCTGTCTGAGTTTCTGCCAAACTCAGAGCATTAACACAATTCTGAGGACGCTCGTCATTCCCTGAAGCATCAGATGCACAAACCAGGACTTTTTTCTTGTCCCCAAACCAGGTCCTGTTTCCTGAAATCTTTTCTAATTTTTTTTTCTTCCCATAACTGAATTAGTTATTGCAGGGGATGAAAGGGCCTCTGACAACATTAGCTACACTCTTGGGAGAATATTCTTCCAACATCAGTGCTCTATGCCTCAAAGAAATATGAGTAAGTGTTTTCTGGGGGAGCCTGTGGAGGACGAGCATCAACACTATGAACCGTGAAATATAGAACTTCTTGCCTAAGAGTCAAAATTGCTTCATTCCTCCTTTTTGAATGAAAAGCAGGACAAATAACAGAAAACAACTCTATTTTTAACGTATCAGGGGCTGTGTTTACAGAAGAAATGTCACAATCCTGAGCACTGGGGCAAATATTGAGCCCATAATGTATGAGAAGGCTGCCCGGGCAAGCACAGGAGATGTGACCTCCTGACTTCTCACCCCATTCGGAGACTCAATCAGAAGGTAGGAATACATCACACTGACATCTCCCTTTTCCCTCATTAGCCTTCAGGGTCAACCCCTTCGGCAGCTGGCCATCGAAACACTGTGATTCTGATTAAAAAATCCACCTTGTCAGAGAGGCAAAGCCGACTCCTGATAATTCCTGCTGACATATGTAAAATATTCAGCCAAGAAAATGGGTAGCACCCATTAAAATCCCTGTTGATGGTGTATTCTGTGCTCATTAGCTTTTTAAAATGTTTTCCTCACATGATGCATAAATGAAAAATATGCACAGGGACTATTCCTGAGGTTAGCCTTTAACTTCTGTCCTACTAAGTTTCCCTTCAATATTCATTTTTGACAGGTGTATTTTATTAGCTAACTGAAGAGCTGACCTAAGCAAAAGTCTTAAACACTATCCCACACACTCACCTTCTTTTTCATGTTTATTTTCTAAGTACCAGAAATATTGCAGAGTGGAAAAAGCAGTATTTTCTTTATGCTTTTCATTCCTCTGATTTTTTTTATTATTATTATTTTGTTATCTTTGCTCTTTGGGGAACGATGTGGGATGGAGTAGTTGTATCTAGGAAGAATTTTCACCATTTTGCCTTAGAAGCAGAAAAACTCCTGCACTTGCAATTTCTGAAGAGGTATTTGTGGGAAAACTCAATTCTTCCATAAGAAAAAGCACTTACTGGTCTCCTGTAAATGTGTTTTCTATCTTTTTATTTTTATATGCAGTTTAATAAGAGTAAGCTAGGTGACAAGTAAATGAACCTGCTTATCAGATTGGTCATTAATGTTTAGCATTTTCTTTTCCCATTTCCTGAGGACTTAACTAAAACTGCTTTGCTGAGTTCCTTTGCTTAGCCGAGGGAACATTTCTCAGGGACTAGAAATAAAAAGTTACTTAAAATCTATTGCTGCAGGCTGCACTGAATGGCCCAAGGGACTGGCAATATGATATTAAACATCTTATCTAGGTTACTCATTCACATCTAGTCACATCGGGAGTGACCAGAAAGTTACTCTTGTGGATGGCTCACTAGCATTTTATGTCATACAAAATTACAATCTTTGACCATTTCAGGGAGATGATTCCATCTCCCCAAACCCAGCAACATCTTCAGCAGGAGCTGACATAATTGTAGTACTTTCTAAAAATTAACCTGCCTTAAAATGCATGAACAAATACTGAAACCCCTTCCTGCAAATGGTCTCTTGTAACTTTTAACAAGGTTTTCACAAAAGCCCTAGAATTCAGTCAGATTAAAGCTGAACTACTTTTCAGGATGGTTATAATTAAGTTTATGATTAAGTTATGATTAAAGTCCTTTGCTAGGGCAGCACTAGGAAAATTTGCATGATGAAATGAAAGAACTGCTGCAAGGCTGCCGGTGTCACTCCTTAGAAAAGTTCAATAATGTCAAGCAAGACACGGTGGCAATCTACCTGAGGACTTGGCTTTCACCATGATGCACACCATGTGAAACATGGCCTGCCCAGCAAAAAGACTCACCGAATCAATGTAAAAGGTGTTGGATCCCACAAAAGTGATGGCATCTTGCAGCTCATAGTTGTGCACCCCGTTTTGGTAGTCCTGGTACGGTGTCACTGTGAGAGCGAAAGGGCCCACGCTGTGTTTGCTCCAGTTGGTCAGCTTCACCTCTAGCGGGACAGGGTCCCCAACTTTGCAGTCTACCACAATGTCACAGTCGCAAAGCTTTCCATCAACAAGGACGTCTGCAAGTAGAGCAAACAACCCCACATTAACGTTGGATCAACTTTGGCTGTTAGGAAACATAGCATGAAAAAGCAACCTGAACCTTAAAAGGGCACTACAGTTAATGTTAGGAGAGACAATCAAGCCCTGCAGACAGCTGAAATTTCCTCAGGCTGATTCTGATGAAGCTTCGTGCTTCTCCTGCATATCAACACCATCAGCAGAAGGGAACAATGAACAGGAATCATCAACACAAACCATGGTTCTACATTTCCAGTGCTGGATGGCCGTGTCACACATTATGGCCATGAATATATCCTCCTGTTAGGAGATGACCTTTCGGAGCAGGACGGGCACTGCCAGAATTTGCAATGTAATACATACATTAAAGTCCACATAAGAAGGAAAATTGGGATTTTAAAGTTATGCAGCAGTACTACAAGCTTGTTCACACTTTGCACTTTTAATTCATTCTTGGATTTCTATTTTTAACTTTATACCTTTTGCGGGTTTCTCTCCCTCCCTGGGATGGCAGAAGATGTAAAGCCTCTAAATTGGTTACTGCTGGGACAATGATAGCTGGAGTAATGTGTCCACTAACCTTGCCCATTTGCTTATACAGAACCAGAACATTTCATTACTAACACACTAGGAAATTGCTAGTCCAATTCCTCGCTCAGAAAGGTTCCCAGTTGTGCAGTATTACTGTATTTTTTTCAGATGAGGGTTATCTCCGATGCACTATTAATACAGCTACATTTCTATTTCACTACAGGTTCATGTTCAGAGATAAGAAAAAGCCCTGGGCACGTGTAAGAAAGCATGTTCCGTGTGAATACCTGCCCTCACAATCTCAGGCACCCGCAGGGAAGGCTTTTCCATCACTCATCCGCTTGCCTTGTGACATGCAGCATATTATTCCTCTGCTGACAGCACTGGATTTACATCAGTAATATCCGCATCTCCAAGAAAAGAGATTCTCCTTATGCCTCAGGTACTTCCAGGGGGGAACCATTTGGCACCAAAGTGATTTTTTTTAAACTTATTTTTTGTTTTGTTTTGTTGTTAGAAGAAAACCAACAAAATGAAGCATGTTGTTGCGATGCCCTTTGGCCTAGCAAATCGAACAAGCCTGGGCACAGCATCCCCAGTCAATAATCGAGAAGAAACAAGTTCAGAAAAGCACAAGAATTCCAGAGGCTGCTTCGACACAGATGAGCCGACCCAGGTGAAAAGCTGTCCTTGATCAGGGTCAAAGCACGTAGTCAAGTCCCAGGTAGGGGAGGCCCAACCGAGGAAGGATCCTTGGTGCTTGTGCTTGTGCTGCTGCTATGACTTTCCAAAATCCATCGTGATATCCCAGCCTGGACCAGTTCCATGCCACAACCTTGTCTCCCCAATGAGATGCTTAGTTTGTGATGATGGAAAGGAGAGGAAGCCATAATCACCACTGAATGGGCTGGAAATGCTGTTCTTGGGTTCTGCATTAAAATTATGGACTCTCTTGCCCCAAATCATCAAATTGGTTAATGTAGGATACAGAAGAATAAGAAAGAAAGGTAGCAGTCATTATTTGGGACACACTCGTATCTTAATTGCCTTGAATCATTTTAAACGCAGAAATAGCTGTGTGTGCTTCCATATAACCTTTATATTTCCCAGCCTCATGCCAAAACAGTCCAGTTGCTTCTTTCTGCAGTAATGAATTCATGAGTTTATATCAGTTTGTTTTCAAGCCTCTCTGCAAGGTGTGTGTGCGTGTATATATATATATATATACTTTTTTTTTTCTCATTTCTCTCGCCATGGGGTCTTAGACCTTTGAGAACTGCTAACTCCTCAGACCAGCCTGAACCCAGTGAGCTAAGTGGATGGATCTTTACTTTCCAAGAGCCTCATTGGAGCCTAGGAGCTTTACATTCGATCCTCTGCTGAAAGAATTATAAATGAGCCTTTTGCTCTCAGTTTCTACCTTTGCTTCTAATAACAGCAGGAAGCCTTGTTTCCCTATACTTTCATGTAGAAACAGAAAAGTCAGGCAAAGAGGAAGCAGTTAAGCCTGTTTTATCCCGATTAATTTTCTTTCATAATCCTAGAAAATAAATAAAATACATAAATTCAATTCTACGCAAACAGCAGTATATACATTACATGGAAAGAGCTCAAAGTGGAACAAGTGGCCATTGAGAACAATACGAAGGCCTGACGATTATCTCTTAATTAAAGGCTATATTTGTTTGTTTGTTTGTTTCTAGGTATTTTAATAAGCAAAGAGCTTCTTTTTTAATAAGCCAAAGTACTTTTCTCTCTCCTTTCCTCTCATTTTTCTGCACAAGGCCAAGGCCATTAAGCATCCGTATGGACCGACACCACTCTGATGGCCACTGGAGAAAGGAAAGCTATGATCTACAAACTCATGTTGGACGTCCGGACTGGAGGAAGTGCTGTATATTTAATCTTTGGGATGTTCTATGTGATTATTGATGGAAGAAAACTATTTCTACCCAACTTTGGGAGGCATATGATGAGGCTAAGAAATGCTGTTGAGATGGGACTTCAGGAGGCCTTGCTTTGTCATTCCTCTCCTGCATGATCCACAGCTTTCAAGATATGTGACCTCACTTTTTAGCTGTACAAAAGCAATTAATGACGTTATATGCTGTGCTGGTTGATACTACAAGAAACCTGAATAACCATTTCATAAAAATAATACATCAGAATTCAGGCTTTCAGTATCTCAAAACTCTCAAGAAAAGGGAACAAATGTTACCAAAGGCAAGACAGCCACTATTCCATGAGAAAAACACCCGCCAGGCACATTGCTGTCTACACCGCCCAAAGGAGTACCCTGGAAACAAATACCAAACACTATTAGCATTCGATGGGATTTATTCTGCTCATATTAACATTCAGCAAGTTCGTGCTGTTCTCTTAAGTTTCTGTCTAAGCACTGGCAACTCATTGCACCCTCTGCACATGCAGCACCCACAGCCATGGCTAATTGGTCTGCCTTGCACACAGCTGCCCTATCACCAATGTGAAAGTTCAGTTTGGGGAAAAAATACATATAAATGCTTTTTTTTTTCCCCCCCTCAGTCTAAATATATACTCCTTGTAGTGTCTACATCCTCGAGTCAGGCTTGGGCTGATTTACAAAAATAAGCTGCATAGGAAGATATGAAGATATGGTATTTCTGCATATCGTTACGATGGGAGATGGAGAATTTTCCTTTAGTGATTCAGTTTTATGCTGCAGGTGGGATCCCCAGCTGATGCTGACACACTGGTTTCCACCATTCACCACAACTGAGAACCTGGCTTGAGACTTCGAGCAAACACCCCTTGGAGACGTTGCTTTGCAGAGATGAGCGGGGTCAACAAAACTTAATGCAAGAGGGGCCCAGGGGAGTAAATACATCTCATGAGATAGATAAAACAGATCTTCAAGACTAGCAAAGCAAGTCCTGCTCAGCTGTTGTGGGATAGTTCGGGGAAATTTCAGTCAATCATCTATTTTTTATGCTGTTTGAATTGCTCAAAAATGCAAGTTTTCTTCCTCTCGATCTGCACATTGGGAGAAGGGGCGGCAATGAGAGACGGAGGGGAGAGGAAGAGCAGTAACACTGACTTCTCCAGATAAGATGCATCAGATGATACCTCCATGGAGGAAAGCCAAAGACTGAGAGCCCATGCCAGAGCTGCCACAGTGAAAGTCTCAGAATGATTCAGGTACTTTGTTTTCACCAAATCTAAAGTGCTGATTATCTGTCCGGGCCAGTTTTGCTTCTCACTGACCTAAGAGCGATCAACGGGCCAGCAACGCAGCCTGGAGTTTTTCTTCTGCTTGGTTGCAGGCTTCTTTGTTCAGGATTTTGTAAGGAACGTAGAATGCACAGAGAAGGTTGGAAGAATAAGTCTTTTAGAAACAGGTTGAACAATTAAGTTGAATTCTAGTTTTCTGCAATATACAAATGGAAGAAAGATTGAAATGGAGCAAAAACCTGCAGTATGGACAACTTCAGTTCACAGAAAAGTGGCTTCCACCAGTCTCGGACCAAGCAAGCATTTGGCCTCTTCTTCTATTGGGTGTCAGGTCAGCTTTAGCAATCTATTTTGGGGGAGCTTGCAGGTATTCTTGTAACACAAGACAATCTCTAATTTTTACTATTATTTTTTAAATGCACCTTCTCCAATAATTGACCTTAAACATTGTTCATTTCCCCTGTACCCACTTACTCCCTTTCATTTTCCAAACTGATTGCACAAGTTATTTACACGCAGAGAAACAAGGTTGGTGACATTTGCTTGTCCACTGCAAGGACTTGCAGCATTTTCAGAGCTCACAACATCCCTGCAGGAGATATTTCGATGAATATAAAAGCACTGTTCCTCCTTAGTCACATCAAGACAACACCGAACAAGTTTTTAATAACATGACAGCCTCCTATTTTTCTGTGTAAAGCCTCCTGCACGTGGTTTGGATCTGTTCCTGACATCAGACCTATGCACCCTGGGTTGGAGCAACATGGTCATGGTCATTCAGCTTTGTCTGGACAAAACACTGAGACATCTATCCCCCGCATAAAGTCATTACAGTCAACAGCAAACCCAGATACAGAGGTATACAGCTGTTCATTCAGGGATAAAGCAGGGAAACTTCAAGCAACTTTAACTCTGAAATCTTCAAGTGGATGGGACAAGTGAACATGAACGTGGACTATTTAAAGAGGCAACCGCTTTCACAGGACCTTGGAGCTGTCCAATTCATGGCAGGCTTCCCATCCCCAAGCAGTTCACAATTGAATTAAGGACACCTCGTTTGTTCCAAGAGTAATTAAAAAGAAAAACACATTTAAAATATAGTTCTAGCAACAATAAGCAATTAGTCTTCGATAATTGTCTGTGTCTTCCTACTTAATCACTCTGCTGCAGCAGCCAGTCTGCTGATGACAGATCCTGCCTGCTCCTGTTATTTTTCTGGCCCAATCACTGTGAGGTGGTGCCTGCTCTTAACCCTGCA